GAAGGATCTAATCAAAATTATAATAAGAAGAGAAAAATAAATAAAAAAAAAGAAAAAAAAACCAGAGATTTATCTTATTAATATTGAACTTATTTACCTTTCACCTAATACTACTGCTCACCTTTAGCCTATAGATGTGAGAATTATTCATAACTTTAAAGCTAAATATAAACGTGAGTTTTGTAATCATATTATTAGCCAATTTGATTCTGGAATAGATCACACAAGTAAGTTGTAGATTTATGTTTATTTTTAAATAATAAATAATACAATTTATGATTTTTTATTAGAAATAAATTAAATGTCAAGAAAGCTATTGATTATATAGCTGAGGCATGGATAATGTTACTCAAACAACAATTCAAAACTACTGGGTTAAAACAGGAATTCTTTCATCTTCTGATTTTATTATAGATGATATTGATATGCAAGATTTTGAGATAGATAAAATTGATATTGATCATTTACCAGAAGCTAATAGATTAAAAGAATTTTTTCAGATATATGATCATAAAATTCCAACTGAAAAATATCTGACTGATGATCAAATTATTAATTTAGTACAAGATGAAGCAGAAGGTATTGAAAGTGATGATGATGTTTTAGATGAAGAAATACCATTAGTAATAGCAGGAAAAGGTGTTGATGCAATTAAAACATTTATTAATTATTTTGAATAGCAAGATGATCCAGAATTTAATGTTGATGATTTGTATATTTTTCGAAAATATTTACGAATTGTTAGAGTTAAAGCTATTAATTTGAAAAGTCAAAATACACTTGATAATTTTTTGAGAAATAATTAGTTTGTGATCTTTATAATGTAATAGGATAATAATAATTATAATACTTAATATAATTTTGTTTTGAATAAAGGGGCTTGCATATACAAATTTGTACGCATTTTTTGTGTATGTATCGTATAAGTTAAAAAGATATATATTAGGCTTAAGTTTCTTGGGGTAGGTAGTTAGGAATGGAAAGAGGGATAGTTTAAGTTTTTTTGTAAATGTAATTTCACACTATAATTTTTGTAAAAGATAAACAATTTTGGCTTTATTTTATATAAAAACTTTTTTTGATTTTTTTTTATATGTTGATAGTAATATAAATGATTTTATAAATATAATCACATCAATGAAAAATTTTATTATATGTGTGATTATATGGTAAAACCCTTACTATAAGCACACCTCACTATAATAACACTATTTAGTGATCCTGAGCGGTGTGATTATAAAGGAGGATGACTGTATAAATAAATTTTTTTAAAGAATTTATCACTTGATAAGTACAGTTACGGTCTAGTATAAAAATCCAAACCCCTGATTCATGATAAATTTGTCTTTAATTATCATATTAACTCAAAAATCCATAATTATTCCATTTTTATAATTAATGAATAAAATGGAATTTTTGCTGTATAATAGAATAAAATAGAATTTTTATGAATTTTAATAATTTTATTCTGACATGTGACAACTAACCAATCATTATTGTAGTATTATTGACTTTATTATGATGGAATTTGTAAGAATTCTATAGTAACTGGTAAATGTCAATCATTTTGATCATTTTTGGCTAAAATTATTGTCGTATTACTATCGCAACTTAGATCAGCCTGCATTAAAATATGAGTTAATTAGAATTATCAAATATTTCTTACTATAATTGGTAATTTTTATCAGAATAAAATCAAAATTTTTCCCGTTATTGTAATAAAAATTTGTGATTTGATATCAGAATAATTCTAGGTCTCTGCATTGACTTTATACTTATCATGTATATCATTTCTATTGTTATTCACTCTAGACTTACTAACGGTATCCGTTTTCTAGTTATATTAGCTTATATCATCTAGTCACAGTAAATTTTTTTTAGTGCCAAATTTATAAATTACATATAAACATATAAAATCATGTGACTTAAAAGTGCCAAATTTATAAATTATATATAAATATCACGTGATCATGATTTATATTATTTTTTATTAGATAAATTGATGAATATATGAATTTAAGAAAATTCATCTAAAATTAATTGAGAAATAATACAAAGTTTTTTATATTTTTTAACTGCATATTCTGCCTGTTTTGCATTGAATTCTTTTCTATAAGCATCTATATATCTAAAAAACTTTTGTGCATAACCTCAAATTTGTTTTAAAGAAATTTGAATCCAATACTTTTGGTACAGTTTTTTGCAATCCTTGCCAAGTATAATTACAATTTCTTCTTACATATCATTTTACATCTCCCCAATAAATTTCAATAAAATTAAATTCACAATGAAATTTAGAATAAAAAATAACTTTATGATCTAAATTTTCATTGTTTTATGAATTAAACAAGATTGATTATAAAAATCCTCTTGTTTTTCCAAAATATATCTCATACAATAATTTTCTTCAGGTATTTTATTTTTACAAAATCCAATTATATTTTTATTTCATAATCCTTTTTCTTGAAGTACTATTCGCATACCTTTTAGTTTTCTTTGTAATTTAAAATTTGAATAATTATCTGGAAAAACTATATGTTAGCTTATCCATTAAATACTATATTACGCATTTTAGTTGTTTTCCACCAGGATTTATATTCATTGCTTTGCATTAAGTGCATTTGAAGCATAAGCACTATGTGAAGAAAAATTATCAAAAGCAAATACAGCAATAGCTCCTGAATGTGTTAATTCAAAAATAGGAATAGCCTTTTCAACAATCTATATATTAAATAAATTTATTAAAATGAATTATATTTTATAAATAATAGAGAAAGGAAAGAAAGTATATTATTACATACTTGTTTAATTAATTGTTCAACATTCTAATAACTATCATGATTTTTTTAGGATGTATCATTACTCTTGCTTCATGTGAAAAATTTTCATCAACAGTTTTTATTTGTTCTTCATTAAGTTTAAGTTTTCTAATAATTTCATACAAAAAATCACTAATATGAATTGCTCGACCTTGTCCTTTTTTTTGAAGTGGTTGTTTAGTATCAAGACCCCATCCAGATTTTCAACTATCATTAACATGAAATAGTGTCTCATTATAAGTAACAAAAATATGAGGTTTATCTATTTAATTAAGAATAGGATTTACTTGAATTTCTAAATCATTTCCTTCAAAATATGGCATTAGTTTTTCATACCTATTTAAAAATTTATTATATATAAAATTTTATTAAAAAAAAATAAAAAATAAAAAATAAAATAAACATACCTTTTCATTTGAGTAAGAAATTGTTGACGATATTTAACAACATCAGCTCTTTCATGTCCATTAATATATATTCCTTTATGATACCTTTTATATCGAAAACCCATCTTATAAAGCTAACGCTGAGCTGTAAATTTTCTAATTAAATAAAAAAAATTAAGTTATATTTCTGTAAAAACAATAAATAAATAAAATAAATATTACTTACGCAATTTTAGTTTTATGTTCAATGCCTAATTTTGGAAATACATTATTTAATACATAATTAATATAATCTGATAAATAAAATTCAAATTTATTTATACGTAAATAGTTGATAATCTCGTGACGAATGTCTTCATCATCAAGAAAACTTTTAACTTTAATATGTTTTCTACGCATTGAAATAAGAATTTCTTGATTTGTACTAACATACAAATCCATTTTCGAAGTTAACGAGCTAAATACTCATTTTTTTCTAATTGTTATATAACATAAAGACTGGCTTTCATTTTTTAATATTCAATTAACAGCATTGACAATATTGAAGTACAATTTCTAATCGCTATTTTTGTTCAGGTAACAGAATTTTATCTTGAAGTTTTTTTTCTATGAAAGGAATTAATTTTTTTAATTCATTTTCATCATCAAAATCACTTTCTATTTCTGATTCTGTAGATGATAAACTGATTATATCAATATTATTATAACTTTCTGATTCATTTGAATGAGTATCATTCACATGTATATCAGGTTTGTTCTGTGTAGGAAAAAAATTGCGTAATAGTATTGCCATTTTGTATGGCCATTTTCTTTGCGTCTTTTTCGGGTTCAGATACTATTTCCTGTGTATCAAAGTGGCCGTTTTAAAGGTTTGATATTTTTTGTACCAGGAAGCAGCTTTCTTAATGTATTTCCGGGTTTGTTATCAAGTTCAGAATCTGCCCACATAACTTCATCATCAGAAGATACTTCAGAATCTCCTTCAAATGGAGAATCTTCAGTAATAATTGGTTTATCCTTTAAAGATAACAGTACTAAATGATTTTTTTGCCTTGACCGACGTCCCATTAGGTGTAAAAATTATAAAATTTGATTTTTTTTTTACCCCTTTTTATGCAAATCATGACTTTCATAAAAATTGGGGATCGGGTCATTTTTTTGTTAAAACTCTCAATAAAACATTGAAAAAAAAGATCGGTGCCGAAGTTCTCTTAAAATCAAAATTGAAGACGCACACAAAAAGAAATATTTTTATCGGCTGTTTAAAAAAAAAAAAGATTAATCTCGATATAGTTTAGTTAAAAAACGCCGACTATAACTACACGTGATTGAGCCATGCAAGATTAGCCAATCATATTCATTTATTTCGGGTGCCAAATTCGCGGAGCATATTAGAAATAGATTGATTTTAAATTCCTATTTCTCTCAAATTAGTGATTGAATTTTAAAAATCTCTTCATTAATTTAAATTGCAGGTTACAAGTAATATAAAAATGAAGAGATATTATTTGAAATACTAATATTTATTTTTTAATAATCATTATATTTGTTATTTAGTAGAGTTATCTTAATTAATTCATCGAATTCTATGAATAAGGCATTGTTACATTGAATATAATTTCGCCCGAAGATACCATAATTTTGTATGTAATTTATCGTTTATATTATATTTGTTATATTTTATTTGATAGTATTTTATTTTGTATAAATACCTTGTATTTTCTCTTGAGTTGAAAAGTAACTCAAGATAGGGTTTTAGGATAAACCAAGAGTTCAATAAAGGAATCTTATAAATTCATTTACGCTCCGAACTAATAATAATAATAATAAATTTTTTTAATTTTATTGAGACTTCTGCTGTTATAATCACTTGATAAGGAGAAAATGTTAATTATTTTTTTTATATTTTCGCAGTATTAAATCATTCTCTAATCATTTAATATTAAAATCAAGAATTTAACGTTTGATTTGTTAATCTAGCGCAAACAATGAATCGTTGCGTTTCTCAATTATTAATGAAACTTTATCACATTAATGATCACAGGCGAGTTTCAAAAAATTCTTATATAAGTCCAATAGTTCAATAAAATTTGGATAAAGTCAATTAGTCCAATAGTTCAAGACTGAAGAAATCAAATCTTACGTTCCGAATATCGTTCTGCGCAACAAGGCGATCAACGTAGCTACGATCGTCGAACTTGAATTTATTGCTAAATTCCAACTTATCTTGGGTAACAGCTTCGCTATTTTAGGATCTAAGTAAATTAGCTAATCGTACTAGAGGGATGTTCACAAAAAAAAATATATTTTTTCTTTAGAGGGGAGACGAAATGAAGTATAACGTTATTATTATTACTATTTTAAAATGAGAAAGTTTGTTTTTGATCATATTAAAAATAAAATATACTATATCAGATAAGTTAGATAAGTTGCTCTTTCTAAAACGCGAAAAAACGCGAGAATTTTCTAAGTAGGTGACGTAATCATCTATCAATCAATCAGTGCATCAATGATTTATAAACGCGCCTGACTCTTATTACTGTAGGCTCTCACTCATAGACTTACGTTTGGAAAAACTGCTAAATTAAAATATGAGGATCAAAAAAGATTGCAAAAACAATTTGAATGACGAAGGTAAGTATACATATAAATCTACGTTAATGCAATAATTCGTTATTAACTTCCATATTTTTTGAAGAATACTGGATGGGAATCACCAAAAATAACAAACCAAGTCTACTTGGGTATTTAAATTATCGAAAAACCAAGGTTGAAATTCTTGAAAAAGAACGCGAACTTTCACGATACCGTCAAGATTTTGAATGTATAAAACATCACTACAATGATAAAAGTGGATATAACGCAAATATCATTAAACATATAAAATATATTGAGGATAATTTTGAGGTATGTGCTGAACTGCTATAAGACCTTATAGGGATTTATGGGGAGACTACTGTACTGTTCTACATGCCAAGTGTATTATACTGTTCTACGCAAGCTTACTGTATGAGAAATTAATGGTCCATCTTGTCAACGAGTATTGTTATGTAAATGTTTTAAAAAATTCCGGAGGAGAAATGGCTATATACCTTCCTCAAAAGGTTTAAAAACTGATCCATACGATATTGAAGCCATACTTTTTTTTTTTTTAGGTCGAATTAGATTCACCAGAAGTAAATACTTTCTGGACTCCAGAGGCAGTCAAGGTATGTAAAAGTTATTAATTGCTTTATCATATCATTGCTTGCTTTATATTAACAGTAATTGTTTAGGATCAAGAAACCGCCTCCTTTTCCGTTAACAATGATCAATCTTCCCCTAATAATGATCAATATGATGACGGTGAAGATGTTGACAATAATGCAGTCGAACCAAATGACTTAGAGTCTGAGAGAGTATCAATTATTTTAAATTCATCTTTACAAAGCATGTCAAGTGAAATCAATTTTACAGAAGTACGCCACAAGATTGATGAATATCGAAACACTATTCCGCGATCAAAACAATTATATAATCCGTTGTGGTATTATATTATTGATCATTCTGGACAGCATACTCCAACAAACAATTTATTTGATATGAATGCTCTAAATGAAAGCATTCGCGATAAGGTTTCATTTGAAACCAAAAAGACATGTGATGAAGTTGGAAATATATTGGACAAGTTATATGATGTAAGAATTAAGTTGTGAAAGTGATTTTCTTAAAAGAGTAAGATTTAATTTTCTTATTTATCTTAATCTCACGTAGGATCCAAATATAAAAATTATGACCACTTCAAATGATTATGAAAATGATTTGAAAGAACTCTTCATACGTGTGCAAAGATACTTAAGGCAACCAAGCCGGAACCTTTCAGAGATGATGCATATGTATCGGAATATCTTACCATACTTCGATGCCATTTTTAACGACTATGAGAAATTTACTTTAGATTGGTATGTATGTATTAAAAACTTTTGTCCTAATATTTCATTAATTAATCAAGTTTTATGCAAATTATAGCGGCGAGAAATCTTTGAAAAGTTCTAGCGAACGGCGAAATAAGAACTCCGATCCACAATCACAGTCACGAATGGGTCAAAAATGTGATCTAATTGTAACTGCAAATCGTATCAGTTGGAAGCCTGAACTATTAATTGGTGAAGTGTCAGGAGGTGTTCTTCCCGGATGTTCGAGATGCAAGTCTTGGAAAGATAAAATCAAGTTAGCATGGGGGCTAAGGGACTCCTTAATCAGGAGTGAAAATGAATTAGAAATAGATGTAGATAGTTTAGTAGTTTGGGGAGTGCAAATCGTCGGTAAGTTATTTTCTTTTACGGTTTCAATAAATAAGACATGGAGAGACAGACCGCTCCTCTCTTTATTTTTAGGTTATAAATTGAAAGTATATACGATGATCCGCTTTAAAGGTCTCTTCCACCTAATTTTACTTAATGAATGCTGGTTACCAGTATCTATACACGAAATTTATAATATCGAAACTATCTTAAACGTGTTGGAAACAATGCACGATAAGATTAAGGCTATGGAGCTAAATATTTTAAATTTGATCAAGAAAAAAAACTTGCAGAATCAGAGAAAGAGAGAATCTGCCAGTAACAAACAAAATCTGGAAAACGACCCTCCGGTTATTCATACACCTACTAGTAAAAGGGTTAAGACGTATCATTAGTTTTTTTTTAATTAAATCAAATTATATTAATATAATTGTTTAGCGAAATAATCCTTGTAATTTATAGTCTAGTTGGGAACAAAAAATCATCACAAAAGTTTACAATATAATACTGAATTGTGATTGGCTAAAATTTAATCATGCGATTAATGGTAGAGCAAAATTTATTAAATTCATAGAATAGATTTGCATAATCAGTAATATTGAAAGTTATTTGAAAATTTTTAAACAATGATTATTTAAAACTAATAATCTGTTTAATATAAAATTTTTTTATTTAAAAGTATAATCGAAAAATTTAAAATTTAAAATTAATTTTTTAATATGATTGATTTCAATTAATTTTTTTAAAATAAAATATAAAATTTGTTTTTATTCTTTATTTTTTATTTTTAAATTTTGTTTTTTTTTTTATTTCTTTTAAGTTTTTATAAATTTTAATAGTATTTATATTAGAATTATTAACTAGTTAATCAAATATTTTATGAAAAAAATGTAACTATTTTACTTTTACTTTTATATTTTCAGGTTGTTTATATTTTATAATTATCAGAAATAAGATAACAATTTGATATATGAGTAATTTGAAGAATCTTTTTATTTAAATATATTCTATTATGATTATTTGTAAATAAAATTCTGATTAATTATTCTTTTTCATTCTTTTTTAAAGATATTAGTATTATTTTTTGGATAATTGAGGTAAATTGTTATTTGGATTCTTATTTATAGGTTTATTTTCAAACATTAAAATTTTCTTTCTTTGATCAGCTCTATTTTTTATTCTCTAACTTCTCTAACTTTTTCAACTATTACTATTATAAAAAAAGTTTTCTTAAAAATCATAAATAACAATTTTTTACTAAATTTTTTTTGAATGAATCATTTTAAGTCATTAGAAAAAATCACATATTCTATAATTATACATAATTTATTGTATTTTAATTTCACAACTTAATTATTATACTTAAAAATATAATCACCTATAAAATAATATATAGTTAACTTCTTTATAGTTATCTTATATATAATTATATTTCTCTTTATAAGTACACTTATATTAACTCAAGTTATTAACTTATTAAAAAACCTCTCTTTAGTTATATCATATAATATTTTTATAATTACATCATTTTTCAGTTTTAAAGATAGAAAGGATCGATTATAATAAAATCAATAAAAAAAATTAAGATAATAAATTAAAATAAATAAGATATAAAAATATAAAAATTACTTAATTTAAAAAATCAAATATTTAATAGCAATTTTTAAGATTTAAATCATATTTTTCAACTCAATATTGCAAAAATTTAGATTTTAAAATTTTTTATAGGTAAATATTAAATTTTTCTAAGCTAAAAGAACTATTTTTTTTTATAGTTTTAGTATCTGAGATTAAGATTGCTTGTCTAACTCATTTTAGATTTGACAAAATGTCTAAACTATAGTTTGCTAAATTTTTACTAAGGTTTTGATATAGTTTTGCATTTTTATAAGTTTTGATATAGTTTTACCTTTTCTAGAATTTCGCAGATTTTTTTAGATAATTTGCAAAATCTCTAAGCATCTTAATAATAATTATATATATGTTTAAAATTATAAAGTAGTCTAATGCTAATCTTAAGACCTATGAAGTCATGATTAAACACAAGTTCTAATTAGAACTTACCCATTTAATACTGATCTAAGGCTTACTATTTAGACAACATCTCTAAGAGCTAATCTTCAAAGCTTCTAGATTGCAAAACCACTATCAAATTTAGATAGAAAGATCACTTTTAACTACAGATACTTATGTTACTTTTTTCTACATTTACCAATATCAATCAGAATTACTATTACCTTTACCTTAAGCCAAAAAAACTAAAAATTTTAAAAAAATAAATAATAAAGTTAAAATTAAAACAAGTAAAAAATAAAATATTAAATAAAAAATTTTTTAAAAAAATATTAAAATAATTATCTCATAATTTTCAATATATAAAAATACTTGTAACAAAAGAAAAAATAAGCTAATGCTTCAAACGGTTTGGTTCAGTCTAGATTATAGACTAATCTGAAACTGAATCAAAAATTTCAGTTCAGTTCAATTCAGATTATAAATCTTAAAAATGCCAATCTGAAATCGAACTGAATCGTAAACTAGTAAAAATCTGAACTGAACTGAAAATTTCAGATTAATCTGAAATTTCGGATCGTTTGAAACAATCCTTTTATTATTCTTTTAGAACGATAATTTAATCGTTCCAAATAAATGATAATTTCAATCATTCTAAATGAACAATTTTTTTATCGTTTGATTGGAATGATAATTTAATCGTTTCAATTAAACGATTTTTTATCATTCGTTTGAAATGATAACTTCAATTGTTCTAAATGAACGATTTTCTTATCGTTCATTTAGAATGATAATTTGATCATTCTAATCAAACGATTCTTTATCGTTCGTTTAGAACAATAACTTCAATCGTTCCAAATGAACGATTTTCTTATCGTTCGTTTAGAACAATAATTTGATCATTTCAATTGAATGATTTTTTATCGTTCGTTTAGAACGATAATTTCATTATTCTAATTGAACAATTTTCTTATCGTTCGTTTGGAACGATAACTTCAATCGTTCCAAATGAACGATTCTTTTATTGTTCGTTTGGAATAATAATTTAATTGTTCTAATTAAATAATTCTTTATCGTTCATTTGAAACGATAATTTTATCGTTTCAAATGATCTAAAATTTCAGATTAATCTGAAATTTTCAGTTCAGTTCAGATTTTTTTCAGTTTGGATTAGATTTATAATCCGAAAAAAATCTGAACTGAACTGAAAATTTTCAGATTGAAATTTTTGCAATCTGAAATTGAATCAAAGTTGATCCGAACTGAAAATTTTTAGATTAATCTGAACTGTTCAGAGCTTTAGTATACGTCTATCTAACATAGCTTCTTTTATATGTCAAATCTTTGAAGGTCTTCTTTTAAATGATTTATTTATAGAAAGAGTTGAAATTCCTGATATTAGTCAGCAGAATCAACAAGTTTTATTTTTTCAAATTAAATACTAGCAATTCTTCAATATGATACTCTATGATAATAAGATTTTTTTTTTGCTAGAAAATTAAAAGACAGATATTAAAAATATTACTCTGAAATTGATTCCTAAAAAAAATGAAGATTTTGGATGATTAAGTGAATTTCTTATCTGAAAATTAATTTAAATAATTATCTATATTTTAGAATTTAGTTTAAATAATTTTAAGAGATTATTATTTTGCAAATTCCATTAGCTATACAAAGATTAATTACATATTTTCTTATTCGTAAAGTGATAGATGAGACATTCAAAGGAAACTTTGAAAATGAAATTATACAAGAAAAAGCAAACCCCTATCATGATTCCTGAAGACATTATTACTTTAAATTATGTAGAAGCTTTCAAATTTTCTTATATTATTAGCTGGATACTTTTTAGTTGCTTAAAAGAGATTATATGATGAATTCTTATCCAAAATTTTCTATTATATGTATTTTACTTAGAATCTTTGTACAGAAAAAGTTAAATATGTTCCTGAAACTAAATTACAAACCATAAATATTATACCTGAACCTGAGTTTATTCAATTTATGTATTACCTAGAATCTCTATTAATTGAATTATTTAAAAGCATAATGAATTAAGACTAAATATTCTATATTATATAAAAAATAGTCTTCTTTCTAATATATCTAAATCAATTGTTTATTATAGTTTTGAAATCTTCAGCCTAAAATATTAATATGAAATTAGATGATAAGAAATTTAGGTTTATTTATAATAGATATATCTCGATCTATATGAAAAGCCATCAAAAAACTTGAAGAGGAGTTAATAATTATATTCTAGAAAAAGATATTGTAAGTTTACAAAAAAGCCTAAAAGAAATGCATTTCAATCAGTCTAAAACTTCAAATTCAGAAAATAAAAGTTTATTATTATAAAGAAAGCAAACTTATCATCTAATCCTATTCATACTTTAGAATAACTTCATATATAGACATAGCTTGAAGAAGCAGAGAAGTTATTTTTAAAGATATTTTTGGTGTTAGAATTATTATGGTTAGTCTGAATATTTGAAATATCAACACTATATAAAAAAAAACAAAAATTGATACTTTTAGTTATCTTTAACTTGAAGAATAAAACACCTTTTGTTGAGAAAGCACTTAAAAAAGATACTATTTTCATAAAATGAGAATATTTAGTAAATATATAATATAATAATAAAATAATAAATAAAGAATTGATTTGTATTTTCTTTAAAAAAGTTATAACTTACTTTTATAATTAGCTTTTTAATATGAATAATTAAACTTTAAGCTGACTCAGAAAATCAATAATATATAGAAACTTTTAGAATTATAGTAATGTATAGTTTTTGTTTACAATAATTGACCAATGAATATCAGCTTTTAAAAATGTAATATTTTAGAAATTCTAAACTTAAAAACCTCATTTTAATTATAATTTAATAATGATAATTAATAAAAATTTATGGAAGGACAGTATGTTGATTAAAAATCTTATTGTATTACCATTGAGTTAGTCCCTGATAATAAATATGAACTAATCAATTTTAATTTTAATTTTAACCAATTAAAAAAGATCAGATTTTCATTCAATCAAAATGTGTATTAATTATGTCAAATATTTTGAGATACTTAGAGCATTATTGAATTCTTAAATGAATGTGAGGTAAAACTGTATGATTAGTGTTATGCTAGAACATATCTTAGATATGCTTAAGACAATTAGGACATAATGAGAGACAGCTTAGAACATAGTGTGAAATAGTCTTAAAATAGAATATGGAAAATGAACAACACTATATATGATGCAAAGATATATAGATATACAAAAAACCTTAAAGCTATCACAAATGACCAGCAAGAAGAGAGGTCTAAAAAAACAATCATTTCTCGACAAGTTTATAATAGCAATATAAATTCTTTTAATCATAGCATGAACAGAGGCCTGTTAGGTTACCAGTTATTCAAGGCTGTTAGCTGAGCCATGAAATTGATACTGGTGTACAGATGACTTATTAGGTTTATCTGATGCTAAAGGCTGCTAGCTAATTCAGTACTGGATCTACTGAAGTATAGTTGGCCTGCTAAATTAGCTGATATTTCAGTAGAATAGTAAAAAT